CTCGGGTATGCATAGATTGCAAATATTCATTATCCCGAGTAAACTCGGGTATGTACAGATTGCAAACATTTACTATCTCGAGTAAACTCGGGTATGTAGAGATTGCAAACATTTACTATCTCGAGTAAACTCGGGTATATATATATATATATATATATATATATATATATATACATAAAGCAATAAAAAAAAGAAAAATAGAGAGATTAACTCAGAGAGATAAGAAAAGAGAAAATTATTTCTAAATAAAATGTTTTTTTAAAAAAATTGAAAGAAAATTTTAAAAAATTTAATAAATATGAAAAGTTTGAAAACAAAATACGGAAAAAATATCAACTCGTTTTCAGCTTTCACGATTACATCCACAAAAGTGCTTTCTTATACTAAATTAATATAGCCAAAGCGAAATGTACATTTTGCTTTGGCTTTATTAATACAATATTAAAAAGCACTTTTTTGCTGATATAATTGTGTAAGCTGACAACTAGATTAAATCGTTCCCTTATTTTGTTTCCCAACTTTATAATTTTTTTAAAATTTTTTAAAAGAAGATTGAAAACATTTTATTTAGTTGTAATTTTTCTTCTCCTCTTTATATTTTTAACTCTAATTTTCCTTGTATTTCTTCACGTTAATTCACATTCTAACGTATGTAAAGAAACTTATCTCGACCTTAACCAGCTACAGCATGCTATTTTTGTCATACTAACGCAACCAGCTGGTGTTGAGTGCCGGCTTCTTCTTTTTGAGTTGCAACCACCGATGTATTTGCAAATTACTCTACACAATTGGTTTTAATTACATTCATTTGTACTCTTTTAGGTGGAGAGTATATTTGGACTTTCATGGAACATTCTAGTCATTGTGTTAATGTCCTACGACCCTTCGAACGAAACGAGTGTCGTGGAAAACGACAATTCTACGGAGGAATCTTTTTACCATTCCGAAGACAATGTCACAGATCTGTGGACTACGCTCAGTGATAACATCAAATCCAAAAAAGCAGTTGAGGAACGTAAGTCAATTTCATTGAAAATTTGGGATAACATTTCATATTGTTAAACAGAATGGTTTTTGGTAAAACATGTTTTCAATTAGATGGGTTTTTGTACTGTGCTGTTATCACGCGGCAATTCCAGAAACTTTCAAAATAATACAGATAGAAGTTTAAGAAAAGTTGGATTTATCGATAGACAATGGATCGTGTTTTCAATATAAATGTAAACAAAAACAGTCTCGAGCTCTTGACCTGCTCTATTTCCGGTTAGAAAGTATACAGCTGCTTTCTACTGCTTATTCTGAGAGGCATATTGTTCGAGCTCTAAGTAAGAAGTGTTTTAAAAAGATTCTTTTTTCAAAGAACAATTCTTACGTCTTGAAATGACAGGTCCTCAAATGACGATTCTTATAACGAACACAAATAATAAAGCAGGTAATGAAATACACGTATACAAGAAATACCATTCAAGATAGTCTCAAAACACAATGATCACGTTGTGAGCCAAATGGCTTCAAAACACACCAAAAATATTTACCCGGAAGTATAGGCAGTCAAGAGCTTGCAGCATTCCCTAGTGTAGAAAACACCAACTATTGAAAATTTGGGATCACATTTCATATTGGCATTACTTCAAAAGAAATTACTGATTTTAAAAAGGAGACTTGGGACGATAAGGTAGAGAGTCTTACTACACAAGATAAAACAGCCTGGAATATGATTCGGGCACTCAAAAGTACTAAGACTACAAATATGCCACTCCTAGGTTCCATTGGTAAAACATACTCAGACATCGATAAGAGCGAAATTTTCGCAGACGCCATGGAAACTCATTTTTCCATTAATAGTGAACCTAGTAATATCAATAATGATTTGAATGTTCTCAGTACCTATAATGAGTATATCAACTCGCATACCCCAAACAATGATAATGATCCTATCACCGTAGATGATCTCTATGGTTTCATTGACAAATTTCATAATAATAAAGCTCCGGGGATGGATAATATCAATAATGTTATGATTAAATACCTTCCCCCAAATGTCATAGAGCAACTTAAAAACATCCTAAACTCATGCCTGAATAAATGCTACCTCCCTCAGCAATGGAGACATGCCCAGATTGTGCTGTTCCCCAAACAGGGCAAGAATCTCTTAAAACCTAACAGCTACAGGCCCATAAGTCTGTCAAAGGCCTTCTTAAAAATTTATGAAAGAACCATCCTTAACAGATTAAAACCCTTCCTTACTTTCCTACCGAATGAACAGTTTGGCTTTCGGGATTGTCTTTCAACCATGAAACAGCTGGTACGTATTGTTGAGGAAATTTCGAGGAGTTTCTACAAAAATGAGACTACTGCCCTTCTGATGTTGGACGTGGTCAAACCTTTTGACCGCGTCTGGCATCAGGGCCTCATCTACAAATTAAATAGCTACAAAATCCCAAATGACCTGATTCTACTTATAAACAGCTACTTAAATAACAGGACTTTTCACATTAAAGTTAACGACTGCACATCCACAGTCAGATCAATTCATGCCGATGTACCCCAGGGCTCGATTCTGGGCCCAACCCTCTATCTGATCTACTCTGCCGACTTCCCAAATTTTAACGAGAGAGATAATATTTGTACTGCATATTACGCTGATGACACAGCGATACTCAGCAAATCACTGAACCCCAACTACGCTATTAAGAATCTAAAGCAAATCATCCCAAACATCGAGGAATGGTGTGCAGACTGGAAAATCTCCATTAATGCTAGCAAATCCTTTTGATTTATTATGAGAAAGGACAATAAGAAGAAAATTAAGAATAGTGACCTCCTATTATTCAATGAACTAATTCCAGTGGTTAAAAAAGCAACCTACTTAGGAGTGACCCTCACCCATAACATGAAATGGAACTCTCATATCTCGAGAATAACTGCTAAGGCTGAAGGTGCATTCCAATCCCTCAAACCAATTCTGAGTCATTACTCAAAATTAGCCCTCAAAACAAAAAGGACCTTATACCTGCAATGTATAAGACCAATAATCAGTTATGCAGCCCCAGCTTGGAGCGCTTTAAAGCCTACACAAAAGCGAAAATTGGAAACCATCCAAAATAAAATGATCAGAAGATTCACGGGAGCTCCCCGCAGACTTAGAGAGAGCGATATTAGAAATGACCTAAAAATTAACTAACTCTATGCAAGAACACATAGTTCTACTATGTGCCGCATTTTTCAAAGACGCGACAAGCTGCACAATGTGCAACTACAACCAAATTTTTGACTTTGAACTTCTCAGAGATAACATTAACTACAGCCCGGCAACGGTATTTTTTCACTCAGACGGCGTTCTTTTTAAACGATTCACCGCCTAATTGTAATTATTTCTCTTCGACAAATCAAGGCTCTTGTCTGTGCACCAATGAAGCCCGCAAGGGGGGAGGCAAGGCAGGCAGGAGCTGAGATTCTACTTCGATTTCTGTAATATCTTTTGTATATATCTTCTCTTTATATTTAACTCACTGTGAATTTTATTCATAAACCCCCACCTGAATTGAGCTTAGGCTAAACACCATTTAACCCCACTGGGATGAATGAGTTAGGGCCCCTAGCGGGACCGAAACTTAGATAAATATTTCACATAGGCATAGTTCATATTGGCGATTGCTACGCTGGAATACGCCATCTGGGGGGGGGAGACTGGTCCCATGCTTCCCCTCCTCTTTTCTTTTGTTTAAGAATGTACTACGATATTTTTCCTTTTCTTAGTATTTTTCGTTTTTAATTAATATAAATATTTTTTAAAATTTCCATGAAAATTACCAGAACTAAGTTTAATGAAGTTTTCAGTTCCATATAACTTCCCAACTTAAAAGATTTTAATCTAGATGAAAATCAAGACAGAAAGTAACGTACTTCCTTCTATGACTCTCCACACGCTAATGGTGAAAGCATGCGAAGTGTTGCCATAGATGGAGAAATCTACTTTACGCCACCTGCAGCCCATTTCAATCATTAATTATTCAATTGAACGGTTTTTGGTGGTCTCCAACAAGATGGTTTTGTGTCCTGTGCTGCCATCTAGTGGCAATGAGAATGAGAATAATGTCCTCTGAAAGTAATGCAGTTAGAAGTAAAAAAAAAAGAAAAAGTGGAACTTATAGCTAGACAATAATCAATAAATGATGTCACACTTTTTTCCTCCTTTATTACATATTTTTCCCCCAACGCACTTATCACCTTATGATTATAGTAACAATGTTATAAATCTCAAAATGTACTTTTATAAATGCATGCGTACGAATTTGGATGCACCTTCCCTCCTCTCCTAGCGTCTCTAAGACCTGTATCGTGCTAGTAAAATACCTATCTAAAAACAATTCTATCAAACAGCTTAAAGTAAAAAAATGTCTCCTTCGAAAAGTATCACTATATTGCTCCAACCCTTCAATTTATTAATTTTTTATTATATTTCTTATAATTTTATCGAAATAATAAGAAACATGTATTTTACGTATTTTTATCTTCAAAATAAAATTATAATAAAAAAAAACAAGTTTATATAATAAAATAAAATGAAAAATATATATTATAATTTAATTTTTAATTTTAAAGGCCAATTTAATTTTACCTTCCTGATTCTTATCTAAAGATAAAAATCTAATAAGACTAATTTGCTTAAATAATGAGAAATTATTTTATCTTTTTCAGATATGTTTGAAATAGTCATCGCAGCTTTAGTTCTCAATGCTATTTGGCTCATTACAACATTAGCTCTAGCTGTAGGCAATGCTGTATGTATTATACCTATCTTCTTTTTTATTTTATTTCATAACCGTCATCTTATATATATATATATATATATACTTATATAT